CCAACCCACTGATGAAAAAACATTAAATACCAATGAAAAATAATAAATAAATAAAAACTGTCAGTATTTAACCATTAAATAAAGTTGGAAAAGCACTTATTTTACATTTGCTTAACTCAGTGTTTCCCAAAGTGTGGTATGCGTATCCCCATGGGTACGGGAAGAGTTTGGTGGGGGTACGCGATGCACCGGAGTTTGGTGGGGATATGCACTGCACCGTGCTTAGCTGCGCCTAATTCTACGTTCTCATGACTATGAGGGGTACTCAGCATTATGAAAATTATAGAAGGGGTACACATATGTCAAAAGTTTGGGAAACACTGCTAAGAACAAGTATAAAATAAATAATAAACGTTTAGTGAAGCTGAAAATGACAACTCAGTTTGAGCTAACTTTTCAAGACCATCTATTTTATTTTAAAATTACTAAAACAATAATAATACTAATTACCCTATCACACATTAAAATGCCTTTAAAAGTATTATTTTTAAAGCCTTATATTGATGTCAGAATAGACAGATCCTTGCAACAAAATAAAAAAGTCCAAGAAACAGCCGGGACCGGTTTGGCTCAGTGGATAGAGCGTCGGCCTGCGGACTGAAAGGTCCCGGGTTCGATTCCGGTCAAGGGCATGTACCTTGGTTGCGGGCACATCCCCAGTAGGGGGTGTGCAAGAGGCAGCTGGTCGATGTTTCTCTTTCATCGACATTTCTAACTCTCTGTCCCTCTCAATTCCTCTCTGTGTAAAATCAATAAAACATATTTTAAAAAAAAGTCCAAGAAACAGACATATGTGCATGTATAAGAGTTTAGTATACACAGACAATAGCAGAGTGATTACTAGAGGGATAGGGGTAGGGGTAGGTAAAAAGGGGTATAGGGAAAAGAAATGGAGATGTAGGAGATGAATTGGGATGTTGAACACACAATGCAATATACAGATGATGTATTATAGAATTGTACACCTGAAATCATATAAATAATTTTATGAAATGATGTCAAGACAATAAATTTAATTTTTAAAAATAAATAAATAAGTTTTTTAATGTTAAATAGTTTAGTATATATAATAAGGGCAGTGTTTCCAATCAGTGGAGAAATCAATAAGTCATGTTGGAATAATGGCTAACCATTCCTTTTTTCTGTGAAGAAAACTATTCAGTGTTATATAGCACTACTGTGGAACAGCTCAATATGTTCTAACCATTTGAGCTAATTTTTTTATAGATTCCCATCTTATACCAAAATTAACTCCAACTGAGTAAAAGAGTGATATGTAAAAAGAAAATAAAAAATGCTTCAAAAACATAAAACTGAACATTAATTAACAAGAATAACAATAAAACTTGACATGGGGAAGGACCTTCTAAGCAGAAACAAAAGCAGAAACCATAAAAGGAGAGATTTTACAATTTTATATAAAATTTTAAAATTTCATGTGGCAAAATACACCATGTAAACAAACTACAAAAACATATATAAATGGAGTTTCTTTGGGGGTGATGAAATATTCTGGAATTAGAGAGTGGTAATGGTTGTACAAAACTGTGAATATAATAAAAGCCACTGAATTACACACTTCAATAGGGTGAATCTTAGAATATCTAAATGATCTCTCAAAAAACCCATATAGTAATATATATCTCAGGCAATTGACAAAATAAGAAATTGAAAATACCAATAAATACATGAAAATTTACATTTACATTTTTTATTGTTTTCCTTTCCTTTTTTTCTTTTTATTTAATTTATTGGGGTGAAACTGGTTAACAAAATTATACAGTTTTCAGGGACACAATTCCACCATACATCATCTGTATACTACTGTGTGTTCACCCCCCTCCCCCGCAAGTCAAGTCTCCTTCCATCACCATTTATCCCCCTTATAAGCTCCTCCACCTCCCCCTGCCCCATTCTTCCCCTGGCAATCACCACACTGTTATCCATGTCCATGAGTTTGTTCTTTTTCTTTTTCCTTTTTGCTCAATCCTCCCATCCAACCCCACAATACCCAACCCCCTACAGCTATCAGTCTGCTTTCTATCTATGATTCTATCTCTATTTTGCCTGTCAGTTCATTCTGTCCATTAGATTCCACCTATAAGTGAAATTATATGGTACTTGTCTTAAAATTATAAATCAGGCCCTGGCCGGGTAGCTCAGTTGGTTAGAATGTCCCCTTAATACGCCAATGTTGCAGGTTTGAGACCCGTCAGGGCCTGTACAAGTATCAACAAGTGGAACAACAAATCGATGTTTCCCCTCCCCTCCTCCCCTCCTCCCCTCCTCCCCTCCCCTCCTCCCTCCTTCCCTTACCCTCCCTTCTCCTCCCATCTCCTCTCCTCTTCTTTTCTCTCTCTCTTCATTCCTCTCCATCCCTCCTCCCTTCCTCCCTCTCTCTCCCTCCTACTCTTTAAAATCAAGCAATTATAAATTAAAACAACTAAGATAAAACATTTCCCCCTACTAGATTAGTCAGATGTGCCTATTACTATGTAGCTTAAAACAGAACAATGTAAGAAACAACCTAAACTTCTATAGAAGGTCATTACTGCACCCACTACTGAAGCCAAAGTGGGAGTGGGGGATATTTCCTTACCTTTCATCTTTGAAGCTGAGACGCTGCTAAATGATTCTAGACCGGGTTGAGCAGATGCTTCTGCCCAGAGTTTTGAATCCTGATGAAGTGACACAGTGATAGTTACAGAGACGTTTTGGCAGTTACAGCAGCAAAATCAAGATGCTAGCTGTGGTGGTGGCAAAAGTACTGAGAAGGCCAGTGCCACTGGCAAGTTCCTCAGCAGACTGTTCCTAGGATGTGACCTTGTCCTATTTTAGCCTCACTGGATTCCTGCCTATTTTCCAAGACTGGATGACCATCTTCCCTGTTGACTCTATAAGCAATCTCAATGGCCTACCAATAAATTTGTTGTATGGTTGAGTCAGAACAGTTTTATGATGTTTGGAAGCAAGAACTTAGCCTAATATATGTATACCATGTGCCCATAAAAAATAATGATATAGATCTCTATTTATAGATAGAAAAAAATGTTCAGGATACATTAAGAAACAGCAAATTTTCACTCTACAAAAAGTTCTCTTAACCAACCTCTAGTGGATTGGCTGATGGTCTCCATTCTATCATTAAAATATTCAGATGTCCACAGCATGTTTATATGTATTCCTTGCCCACACTTAGTTCATCTGTGTTTGCTTATGCCAGTGGTTCTCAACCTTTCTAATGCTGCGACCCTTTATTACAGTTCCTCATGTTGTGGTGAGCCCCAACCATAACATTTTTTTTTTTTTTTGCTACTTCATAACTAATTTTGCTACTGTTACAAATTGTAATGTAAACACCTGTGTTATCCCATGGTCTTAGGCTCTATAGCAGCAGTTCTCAAACTGTGGGTCAACAGCTATCTGGGTCACCTAAGACCATGGGAAAATATAGATATTTACATTAATATCTAAAAGAATTCTGGAGAGAAGAACCAAGATGGCGGCATAGGGCAGACACCCGAATGCAGCCTACCACAATAAGTTTGAATTTAGAACTGAAAAACAGGGGAAGCATCACCCTGAAGCGCCAGAGGGCTGGCTGAGAGGAGGCTCTACCATCTGGGAAGGAGAGAGAAGGCGCGCTGAACCTCAGAAACTGTGAAGGTACAGAAAACTGTGCCTGCAAAAAAGCAGCCGCAGAGTTCGCTGCCGGCTTGCTTGCGGAGAGGGCAGGCTAAGTTTGCTAAGGGCTTACTCCCTGCGTGGAGAGGGCAGACAGCTAATGCGTGGCTGGCTTTCTTGTTAGGGAGGAAAACAGAACCACCCTATTGCACTGATAGACGGCCCCAGACAGGGAGAGGCCAGACTGTCGGGCAGTGGGCAGAGATCTCTCGGAGGTGTGTGAAGCCAGCGGCCATTACTGCAGGACTCAGAAACCAGAGGAGGGGCTGAATAAAGCTTGTCTGAACCACCGAGACTCCGCCCCATCCAAGCAGAGCACAGAGGCCCTTCCAGTGGCTAGCTTCCTCGTTCGCTGCCAATAGGACTCTCCTAGGGAGGGGCAGACAGGAATCTAAAGCTTGTCTGCTCCTATACCAAAGAGGTGCGAGCGCCTGCAACCAATTGTGCGGGATTCAACAAAGCTTGTCTGTGCCACCTCGAGACTCCGCCCATCCAAGCGGAATACAGAAACCCTCCTAGCTGAGACGTTCTGATCCTCATAGCCCATTAGCTTGGAGATCAACGCTTCCCAGTGATACCAACAACAAGCAAGGCTTAACAACAAGACTGCACACACATCCCACAAAGGGCTACACCAAGACTGTCCACCTCAGGTAACTGAGAGGCTGACTCACTGAACCATATAGGACACCTTAGCCCACAAAGCCACCTAACCAACTCAGGGAAGCTGTGAAAATGCTGAGACAAGGAAATAGATCACAAACAAAAGAAATGGAGGAAAAGAAGAGAGTGGAGGATATAGAGTTCAAAGCCACGCTTATAAGGTTTTTCAAGAATTTCCTAGAAAAGGTCGATAAGACCTATGAGGAGATGAAAAGGGATCAACAAGAACTAATAAGGGATCAACAAGAAATAAAGAATACATTGTCTGAAATAAAAAATATTATACAGAGTCCTAAAAACAGAATGGAAGATCGCAAGAATCAAGTCAAAGATTTGGAACATAAAGAGCCAGAAGACACTCCTCCACAGAAGCAAGAAGACAAGAGAATCTAGAAAGTTGAAGATAATGTAAGAAACCTCTGGGACAAGTTCAAGTGAACCAACATCAGAATTATGGGGTCCCAGAAGATGAGAGAGAGCAAGATATCGAAAACATACTGAAAGAAATAGTGACAGAAAATTTCCCCCACCTGGTGAAAGAATTAGACTTACAAGTCCAGGAAGTGCACAGAACTCCAAACAAAAGGATTCCAAAGAAGACCACACCAAGACACATCATAATTAAAATTCCAAGAGCATGTCTCGCAGAGTTCCGCCATGGCCTCCAAGACAGCGAATCGTACTCCTCCGAAGTCTCGTCGGGAGCCCGAGGGGCGCGTCCCAGGACCAGACAAGTATTCGGTGCTGTTGCCCACCTACAACAAGCACGAGAACCTGCCGCTCATCGTGTGGCTGCTAGTGAAGAGCTTCTCAGAGAGTGGAATCAACTATGAAATTATAATCATAGATGATGGGAGCCCAGATGGAACAAGGGAAGTTGCTGAACAGTTGGAGAAGATCTATGGATCAGCCAAAATTCTTCTAAGACAGCGGGAGAAAAAGTTGGGACTAGGAACTGCATATATACATGGAATGAAACATGCCACAGGAAATTACATAATTATTATGGATGCTGATCTCTCACACCATCCAAAATTTATTCCTGAATTCATTAGGAAGTAAAAGGAAGGTAATTTTGACATTGTCTCTGGAACTCGCTACAAAGGCAATAGAGGTGTTTATGGCTGGGATTTGAAAAGAAAATTAATCAGGTTATATTGAAAAGAAGTTCTACAGAAATTAATAGAAAAATGTGTTTCTAAAGGCTACGTTTTCCAGATGGAAATGATTGTTCCAGCAAGACAGTTGAATTATACTATTGGCGAGGTTCCAATAACATTTGTGGATCGTGTTTACAGTGAATCCAAGTTGGGAGGAAACGAAATAGTCTCTTTCTTGAAAGGATTATTGACTCTCTTTGCAACTACATAATAGAAAGTTATTTATTTATCACGTTCATTTCAATTTAAACAGAGGAAACTGGTTGCTGATTTTTTTTAATGTACTTAGAGCATAAATCATAGGTAAGATAAATTTCATGCAAATCTTTTTTTCCGAAGAAGTTCCATTTTTTTTAAAATATATTTTATTGATTTTTTACAGAGAGGAAGGGAGAGAGATAGAGAGCTAGAAACGTCGATGAGAGAGAAACATCGACCAGTTGCCTCTTGCACACCCCCTATCGGGGATGTGCCCGCAACCAATGTACATGCCCTTGCCCGGAATCGAACCTGGGACCTTTCAGTCTGCAGACCGACGCTCTACCACTGAGCCAAACCGGCTTCGGCAGAAGTTCCATTTTATATGTCAAATTAAATTAGAAAAATGAGCATTGTTCTCAATTTTCTTTAACATTTTGCTGTATTAAGACCTACAAATAAATGCATATGGATTTTTTGCATAAAAATAAATAAATAAGTAAGTAAGTAAAATTCCAAGAGCAAAAGACAAAGAGAGAATATTCAAAGCAGCAAGAGAAAATCAGGTAGTTACCTATAAAGGAGCACCCATATGATTGTCAGCTGATTTCTCAACAGAAACCATGCAGGCCAGACGGGAATGGCAAAAAATATTCAAGGTGATGAATAGCAAGAACCTACAGCCAAAAATAATCTACCCAGCAAAGCTATCACTCAGAATCTAAGGCCAGATAAAGAGCTTCACTAATAAAAAAAAGCTAAAGGAGTTCATCACCACCAAACCAGAATTATATGAATTGCTGAAGGGGGTTCTTTTGGAAGAGAAAGTAAATAAAGATAAAAACTATGAACAACAAATACCTAACTATCAACAAGTGAATCTAAAAAACAAGGGAATTAAAAAAAAAAATCTGATGAATAGATCAACCGAAGGACTTGTATACATGCATATAAGTACAACCAATGGACATAAAACTCTGGGGAGGGAGGGGATGTGTGGGAGGGAGGGGGGGGCAAAAAAAATCAATAAAATATGTAAAAATAAATAAATAAATAAATATCTGATGAACAATATTAACTGGTGAATATAATAGAATCAGAGGTATGGAAGGGGAGTGGACTGACGATTCTCGGGGAAAAGGGGAGAGGGGGATGTGGGAAGAGACTGAACATAAACTGTGCACCTATGGATGAGGACAATGGGGGGTGGGGAAAGGGCGGAGGGTGGGGTGGGAACCTGGTGGAGGGGCACAATGGAGGGGGTGGGGAATGAGGAACATTTGTAATGATATAAACAATAAAGAGTTATTTTAAAAAAATAAAATAAAATAAAATAAAATAATTCTGTTATCTACTTACATGAAACTAAACTAGAAACGAGAAATCTGGAATGAATTGATACAAATGTGGTTTATGCAAGAAAGAAAAAGGCTTCCAGAGGACCTATATGCAAAGGAAGAACTTTGCCCCTACATATAAGTTTTAGATAATGAACAAATATAAGTTCTAGGTTTTTAAAAAAGAATAAGCTATATATACATAGATTATATGGTTCCTTCAATTAGCCAACCACTGGATATTTGGGAAAGTTTCTACCATGGTTTCATTTTCTATGAGGGAAGACTGAAATATATCATAGGAAAAAAAGGGGGGGGGGAGACATCTGATTCCATTTTGTTTAAAAAGGGCCCTAGTAATTTTACATTTTCAGCCTTGTCTAAAAACTGTCATAAGCCAACTTTTTTTCTTTTCTCTTTTTAATCCACACCCGAGGATATGTTTTTACTGATTTTAGAGGGAGGAAAGTTCTTCCTTTGCATATAGGTCCTCTGGAAGCCTGCGGACTGAAGGGTCCCGGGTTCGATTCTGGTCAAGGGCATGTACCTTGGTTACAGGCACATCCCCAGTAGGGAGCGTGCAAGTGGCAAATGATCAATGACTCTCTCATCAATGTTTCTAACTCTCTATCTCTCTCCCTTCCTCTCTGTAAAAAATCAGTAAAATATATTATATAAAAAAAAGACTGCATACACAGCCCACAAAGGGGAACACCAAGAGTGTGCACCTCAGGTAACTGGGGAGGCTGAGACACTGGGCCCTGCTAGGACACCTATGGTAGAACACAAAGCCACTCCATCAACTCAGGGAAGCAGCCAAAATGCAGAGACAAAGAGGCAGGTCACAAATGAAGTAAATGGTGTCAAGTAAACAACTGGATATAGAGTTCAAAACTACAGTTATAAGGTTTTTCAAGAATTTCCTAGAAAAGGCTAATAAATTTAACGAGACCCTTGAGGATATGAAAAAGGACTAACTAGAAATTAAACATACACTGACTGAAATAAAAAATATTGTACAGAGACCCAACAGCAGACTAGAAGAACGCAAGAATCAAGTCAAAGATTTGGAATACAAAGAGGCAAAGGACATTTTTCCAGAGAAGCAAGAAGAGAAGAGAATCCATAAAGTTGAAGATAGTGTAAGAATCCTCTGGGACAGCCAAAACCGGTTTGGCTCAGTGGTAGAGCGTCGGTCTGCGAACTCAAAGGTCCCAGGTTCAATTCCAGTCAGCGGCATGTACATTGGTTGCGGGCACATCCCCGGTAAGGGATATGCAAGGGGAAGCTGGTCGATGTTTCTCTCTCATCGATCTTTCTGGCTCTCTATCTCTCTCCCTTCCTCTCTGTAAGAAAATCAATGAAATATATTAAAAAAAAAAAAAAAAGAATCCTCTGGGACAACTTCAAGCATACCAACATCAGAATTATGGGGGTGCCAGAAGAAGAGAGAGAGCAAGATACTGAAAACCTATTTAAAGAATAGTGAATGAGCCGAAACCAGTTTGGCTCAATGGATAGAGCGTCGGCTTGGGGACTGAAAGGTCCCAGGTTCGATTCCAGTCAAAGGCATGTACCTTGGTTGCGGGCATATCCCCAGTGGGGGGGGGGGGGGTGCAAGAGGCAGCTGATCGATGACTCTCATTGATGTTTCTAACTATCTCTCTCCCTTACTCTCTGTACAAAATCAATAAAATATATTTTAAAAAAAAGAAGAATAGTGAATGAAAACTTCCCCCACCTAAAACTTCCCCCACCTGGTGAAAGAAATACTTACAAGTCCAGCAAGTGCCCAGAACCCCAAACAAAAGGAATCCAAAGAGGACCACACCAAGACACATCATAATTAAAATTCCAAGAGCAAAAGACAAAGAGAGAATATTACAAGCAGCAAGAGAAAAACAGTCCAGGGAGCACCCAGATGGTTGTCAGCTGATTTCTCAACAGAAACTATGCAGGCAAGAAATATTCAAAGTGATGAATAGCAAGAACCTACAACCAAGAGTACTCTACCCAGCAAAGTTATTGTTCAGAATTGAAGGGCAGTTAAAGAGCTTCACAGATCAGAAAAAGCTAAGTGCATCACCACCAAACCAGTATTATATGAAATGCTAAAAGGTGTTCTTTAAAAGGAGGAAAAAGAAGAAAAAAGTAAAGATAAAATTATGCACAACAAATACATATCAACAAGTGAATCTAAAAGTCAAGTGAATTAAAAATCTGAGGAACAGAATAAACTGGTGAATATAATAGAATGGGAGGGGATTGATAATTCTCAGGGGGAAAGGGGTGTCTGTGTGGGGGGTATGGGAAGAGACTGAACAAAAATCATACACCTATGGATGAGGACGAGGTGGGGGAGAGGTAAAGGCAGAGGGTGGGGGGGGGCCGGGTGAAGGGGAGTTTTGGGGGAGGGGGAGGAGAAAAAATTGTAATAATCTGAACAATTCAGATTTATTATTTTTTTAATATATTTTATTGATTCTGTACAGAGAGGAAGGGAGAGAGATGCAGTCAGAAACATCGATGAGAGAGAGTCATCGATTAGCTGCCTCTTGCACCCCCCCCACTGGGGATATGCCCACAACCAAGGTACATGCCCTTGACCGGTATCGAACTCGGGACCCTTCAGTCCCCAAGCCGACGCTCTATCCATTGAGCCAAACTGGTCTCGGCTATTATTAAAAAATAATAAAATAAAATATGAAGTAAATGAAAGAAATAACCCTTCATTATCAATCATGTCATTGTTATTTTATTTCATTTACAATGTACTCTTGTAATTGTTCTTGACAATTTCCCCCATATTCTCATTTGTGGCAAGAAATGGTTACAATATATACTTTAAATGTGAAGTATTCTTGCTTTGAGCTCTATTTTATGAGTGATTAGCGTAATAGGTTAGTACAAAAACTTGGAATGAGTTCAAACAGATCAGGATAGACTGTGTAACAACTGGTCATTAGTAAATGTGCTTGGCTCATCGTGAGCTTATTTTTAGAGTGGCTATAAAAAAGGAAATGTTGTGAATTTCATCTACATCCTTCAGAAACATAGAACTCAGATTTAAATACATTTATCTAAATTTCTTCCTAAAGATAGTAAGAGTATACTAAAAGGGCCTAATATACTAAAGGGTAGTATGCTTTCAGCACTATTACTTAATAGCCAAGTAATAATGAACCAATTTTAAAATTTATTTTATTGATTTTTTTACAGAGAGGAAGGGGGATAGGGAGCTAGAAACATCGATCAGCTGCCTCTTGCACAGCCCCTACCGGGGATGTGCCCGCAAACAATGTACATGCCCTTGACCAGAATCGAACCTGGGACCTTTCAGTCCACAGACCGACGCTCTACCGCTGAGCCAAACCGGTTTCGGCTAATGAATCAATTTTAGCCATAATTATTACAAAAAATTAGACTAACCAGAAAAGATGATATGGGCAATATCTAGAATCTAGGAACATATTATTGAATCACCCTGAACAGTATGTTAGATCTATTTTGGAAAGTAGTATCAGAAAAAAATGAACTCTGTCATGAGAAGTTACTTAATTCATCAAAATTTAAAAATAGATCCACCATATATATCCTAAAAATCCCAAAACACCAATCAGAAAAAATATATGCATGCTTATGTTCATAGCAGATCTTTGAATAAAATTCACCTGAGAAGTCATCTGGTCCAGGACTTTTGCTTGCTGGAAGTTTTTGTTTGTTTGTTTGTTTGATTTTTGTTTTTTGTTGCTGTTGTGTTTTTTTTTAGTGCTTCAATTTCATTGTTTGTAATAGGCCTATTCAGAG